ATTTTTCACAGCTCTAGGCCCTTTACACCCACTGTCAGCGTCAGGCCGACGGACCGACGTGAATTTCGAACACTGATGATTTTCCACACAGAAAGTCATTGGTCAAATCATAATTCCATGATGTGATGCGCTGATAACATCATTATACCATACATGAATGTAACAAGGACAAGGCTTAAACTTCCAGAGACCCAGCAGGCAATTGCCATATTTGATGTTTTTACAGCACATCACGGCCAAGAACTGGTGAAAAAGTTAAACGATCACAACATCTCTGTAGTATTTGTGCCAGCATGCTACACAGATAGTCTTCAGCCCCTTGACTTGTCCATGAATAAGATCTTTAAGGATGCAATGAAGCGAGAATTCCAGAGTTGGTACGGCGAGCATGTGTGTTCAGGAATGAATGACAGGATTGATGACCCAACGCTCTATCTCTGGCTGAGTGAACTAAAACCCCTTCACACGAAATGGCTTGTTACTTCTGTACAGAGCATTTCCCAACGACACAATGAACTGAAAGAAGGATTTCTAAAAGTAGGAATTGTAGACAGTTTTGTTTAAGGTCTTGTTTAATGATCACAGTTTTTGAAAAAAAAAAATGTTGACATTTCTCTGTAAATTATATAACTTCACGTCGACTTTGGTGAAACTTGCAATCCATGTACTATTAATACTGATGTGTAGTAATTATTATTATTAACAGTTGAGATATTATTTCAATAAAAAACATTATTGATGCTTCAAAACGCTTGTTCGTGTATCTTTTTTTGAGTTACAAGTTGTGTGAAACCTCAATGGGTGAAACAAAATTCAAGATGGCCACCTGAATCACAAATTTGCTGTGTTTATTTTTCGTGCACAAAACTCCAGCACGCAATCCGGGTAAATTAAACACCGTCAAACATTAACCACTCTACAGTATCCTAAAATGCTTTAGGGAAACACTGAAGATACAAAATGTACCTTGCCTGACTTGATGTACCTTTCCCCGTCATTATGCTAAATCCTGGGCTAAATGCATGCCTGTTAAGTCTTTACTATACTGTTCTATTGCAGGTTACAGTATTTTGCCCGTGGCTGCCAGATGTATATGAAACAGCTGAGGTTAGCTGTTCAGGGGAAAAAAGGAGAAGAACTCAAATCGGAAGAAAATAAAATCAAAGTTGTTGCGTTAAAAGTCACATCAAATATCAACACATTGATTAAGGTATATGAAATTTCAATGATATCTATACTTTCGAACTCCAATCTCTGAATTCCTCATATCTGCAATAATTCTAACCTCATGGTTGAATATAACTAGGTCCTGGAAAAAAAGTATTTGTGTTTCTGGTCATCACAAACTCATCCATTGTTATTTTATTTTTTTTATTTTGTCAGAATTCAAGAAAAAATGAAAGAGAACTTAAGTTATGAAAAATTATAAATTGATTATTTCAGAGAAAAAATATAAACTTGAAAAATCACAAATGTGCATCAAATTTAGACAACCAATGTTGCACACCTCATCTTATAATGGTATTCTTCAATGTTGTCTCTTTCACGATCTTTTCCATAATCCACCATCATACAAGAGCTTGATTACATTGTCATGGAAACCAATACAGAAACCAACAGAGGAGTAAGTAATCACTTTTCAAACATCTTTAACCAGTAGATAAATTTGTGTGCATAAATGGGGGATG